TATTATTAATATAACATAAATTATATTGGCATTGACGCAATATATATCAATATACGTTGTACTTATATGTGTTGCTTACATAATCTAGTTTTCTGTATCTATATATACAGAGAAATAAAAGACAAACTGATATATTTACACAGTATATCTATGCAATCTATGTAACTATCTCTATATAATGCAGGCGTATATCTATATAGTTTCCTATATCTATATAATGTTTTACGTATTTGTGTAATCCAATACCTATATAACCTAAATCATAGCTTTTTATATCTATATAACCTGAATAAAACTTTCATACCTATATATCCTGATATAAATAACTTTTTTTTTTTTACAACTTAATGGGTATTATATGGTTAACCAAGTGCTTAATGATGAACAGAGAAAAAAAAGAAGAAAATTCTCATCAGGTGGATAACTTTAGGTAAGTATGATACTAACGAGAAATTCATAAGTGTAAAGCAAATTAGCCACAAAATGGAGATAACCTGAGATCAAATGAAATACAAACGTTGTTAGCAACAGCTTATTAGTGCTGGACAAATAAAGAGTGTTTTGGATAATAAGTCATTGTTATCCAAATATTCTTCTTGTATTCTCACCTGGACCCCTGATCCAGCATCCCAGGTGGGCTCCATTTCTCCCACTTTCTCATCAGGAACTCCATTTCCCCCCATTTTCTCCTCACAGGTTCCATTTGCCCCCTTTTTCCCCTCATGAATTACATTTCCCTCCATTTTCTCCTCAAGGGCTCAATTTTCCCCACATTTTTCCCTCCAGATCTCAATTTCTCCCCATTTTCCACTCACAAACACCATTTCCCCGATTTTCCCCTCACAGGCTCCATTTTCCCCCATTTTCCCCTCAGAGGCTCAATTTCCCTTCATTTTCCCCTCAAGGGCTCAATTTCTCCTCATTTTTCCCTCAAAGGCTCCATTTCCCTCCATTTTCTCCTCAAGGGCTCAGTTTTTCCCTCAATAACTCAATTTCCCCCATTTTCCCCTCATGGATTCAATTTTCCCCCACTTTCCCCTCACAGGCTCCCTTTTCCCCCATTTTCCCCCCACAGACTTCATTTCCCCAATTTTCCTCTCAAAAGCTCCATTTTCCCCTCACAGGATCCATTTCCCCCCATTTCCCCCTCAAAGGCTCCATTTCCCCCTCAAAGGCTCAATTTTCCACCAGTTTCCCCTCACGGGCTCCATTTCCCTCATTTTCCCCTCAAAGGCTCAATTTTTTTCCATTTTCCTCTCATGGGCTCAATTTTCCCCCATTTTCCCCTCAAAGACTACATTTTCTTATCATGGGTTCCATTTTCTTCCATTTTCCCCTCAAGAACTCATTTTCCCTCCATTTTCTCCTCAAGGACTCAATTCCCCCCCCATTTTCCCCTCAAGGGCTCAATTTCCCCCTCAAAGGCTCCATTTCCCCCCATTTTCTCTTCACAAACACCATTTCCCCCTCACTGGCTCATTTCTTCCCATTTTCCCCTCTCAGGCTCCATTTTCCCCTCAAGGGCTTTTTTTTCCTCCATTTTTACCTCACCAGCTCAATTTCTCTCCATTTTTACTCAAATGCTCCATTTCTCCCCAATTTCCCTTCATGGGCTCAATTTTCCACCATTTTCTCCTCAAAGGTTCAATTTCCCCCCAATTTCCCCTCATGGGCTCCATTTTCTCCCATTTTCCCCTCACAAACACCATTTCCCCCCATTTTCCCCCCGTGGACTCCATTTTCCCCCATTTTCCCCTCATGGGCTCAATTTTCCCCCATTTTCCCCTCAAAGACTCAATTTCCTCCCATTTTCCCCTCAAAGACTCCATTTTCCCTAATTTTCCCCTCATTGATTCAATTTCCCCCCCATTTTCCCCTCAAAGACTCCATTTTCCCATCAAAGGTTCCATTTCCCCCCATTTTTACCTCACAGGCTCCATTTTCCCCAATTTTCCCCTCAAGGATTCAATTCCCCCCCCCCATTTTCCCCTCAAAGACTCCATTTTCCCATCAAAGGTTCCATTTCTCCCCATTTTCCCCTCTCGGGCTCCATTTTCCCCTCAAGGGTTCTTTCCCCCCCTTTTTAACCTCATGGGCTCCATTTCCCACCATTTTCCCCTCACAAGCTCAATTTCCTCCTCATTTTTTACGTCACTGGCTCCATTTCTCCCCATTTTTACCTCAAATGCTCCATTTCACCCCAATTTCCCCTCATGGGCTCCATTTTCTCCCATTTTCCCCTCACAAACACCATTTTCCCCTCAAGGGCTCAATTTTCCTCATTTTTACCTCATGGGCTCAATTTCTCCCCATTTTCCCCTCACAGGCGCCATTTCCACCACTCATGAGCTCGCAAAATTCCCCTAAAATGTCCCTTTTCCCTAGCAAAATTGTCTATATCCCCTAAAATTACCAGGTTCTCCCTGAAATGACTCTTTCCTCCCCAAATACTTTTCAGCTTGGCCAAAACTCTCTGTTTTGCCGCAAAATTCCCGTTTTCTCTGCAAAAATACTGAGTTCCCACTAAAAAGATGGATTTTCACTTTCAAATTTTTGATTTTTCCAATAAATCCAGAGGGTCTCAGCCCCAAACTCCCATTTTCCCTGCAAAAATACTTATTTTGCACTGAAAGTATGGATTTTTCCCCCAAGAATTCCAATTTTCCCTGCAAAAATACTAATTTTTCCACTGAAAGTATTGATTTTGCCCCCAAAATTCCCATTTCCCCTGCAAAATTACTAGTTTTTCCACTGAGAGTATTGATTTTTTCCCAAAACTCCCATTTCCATGCAAAAATACAGATTTCCCACTGAAAGTTTGGATTTTGCCACCGAAATTCCCGTTTTCCCTGCAAAAATACTGATTTTCCCACTGAATCTATGGACTTTTTTCCCCCAAAATTCCTATTTTCCCTGCAAAAATACTGATTTTTCCACTGAAAGTATGGGGGTTTTTTCCCAAAATTCCTATTTTCCATGCAAAAACATCGATTTCCCACTGAAACGATGGATTTTTCCCCTCTAATGTTTTTGATTTCTTTTCTGTAAATCCGTTAAAATCTGGGCGCTCTCACCTCTGGGTTTGGAGGGCACCGAGGGGGCGGGGCTTTCAAAGCCACGCCCATTTAAAAAACGACGCCCATTTATTAGCATGACCACGTCCCCCATACCGCACAAGCCGCATTTAGGCCACGCCCCCTTCCGACCAAGCCCCATGCGTCGCCACGCCCCCTGCGGCAGCGCGCGGGAGGGGGCGTGGCCAGGGCAGCGCGCGCCGGCCCCACCCCCGCGCCCCCCTTCAGGTACCGGGATGGGAATGGAGGGGGTGGGGGGGGAGAGAACTCCAAAATTGGGGAATTTTAACCCAGAATGGGGCCGGATGGAGGAGGGGAGATGGATCCAGAAAAAGAAGGGATTAGGCCCCAAAAATCGGGAGTTTGGTCCCAAAAAAGGGTGGGGTTGGCACCTGGAAAAATGAATTTTGTCACCAAAAAAGGGGTGAGGTGACCCCAAAGTGGGAATTTTCCTTCCAAAAATGCGAATTTTCCTTGGAAATATGTGAATTTTTCCCTCGAAAAACGTGACTTTTCCCTTGAAAAATGTAGATTTTCCTTCCAAAAATGCGAATTTTCCGGGGAAAATGTGAATTTTCTCTCGAAATATGCGAATTTTCCTACATAAAAACTGAATTTTCCCTGGAAAAATGTGAATTTTCCCTTGAAAATGTCTCTTTTCCCACCGACTCCGCTGATTTCCTCCCGCAAGCGCCGTGATGGTGACATCATCACCGCCCTGCTGATGTCACAGCCTCCCCACTGACATCATAGCGGTGCCGGGGGCGTGGCCAGGGGCGTGGGGGGCGGAGCTTTCAGACAGCAGCCCCGAGCCCCCCTCCCCCTCCAGCTCCCGGCCCCCCCCAGCCGGACTCCAGCCCCTCTGCAGTGCAGTTTCCTGGGCACCCTGCAGGGGGTGCCGATGCCTGTGTGACCCCTGTGTGACCCCGTGACCCCTGCGTGACCCAATGACCCCTGTATGACCCCGTGACCCCTGTCTGACCCCGTCTCTCCCCTTGCAGCGCAGTTCCCTGGGCATCCTGCAGGGGGTGCTGACCCCTGTGTGACCCTGTGACCCCAGTGTGACCCCTGTGTGACCCTGTGACCTCTATGTGACCCCTGTGTGACCCCCTGACCCCTGTGTGACCCTGTGACCCCTGTGTGACCCCTGGGTGGTGGGGCAGGGCGGGGTCCAGGGCACCGCCGCCAACGGTGCTCTGATGGGCACCTGCGTGAGTCTCCTGGGGCACCTGGGGAACCTGGGGACACAGCTGGGCACATCTGGGGTTACCTGGGGACACATGTGGGCACACCTGGGGTCACACTTGGGGGCACATGGGGGCACCTGGGCACACACCTGGGCACACCTGGGGACACACCTGGGCACACCTGGGGACACCTGGGGGCACCTGGGGGCACACCTGGGTGGTGGGGCAGGGTGGGGTCCTGGGCACCGCCACCATCGGGGCGCTGATGGGCACCTGCGTGAGTCACCTGGGCACAGCTGGGAACACCTGGGAGCACCTGGGCACACTTGGGGACACCTGGGATACACCTGGGGGCACCTGGGTACACCTGGGGCACACCTGGGCACATACCTGGGGCACCTGGGCACACCTGGGGTCACACCTGGGGCACCTGGGCACACCTGGGATACACCTGGGGGCACCTGGGTACACCTGGGGCACACCTGGGCACACACCTGGGGCACCTGGGCACACCTGGGGTCACACCTGGGCACACCTGGGGACACACCTGGGCACACCTGGGGGTACCTGGGCACACCTGGAACACACCTGGGGTTTGGGGCAGGGTGGGGTCCTGGGCACCACCGCCATCGGGGCACTGATGGGCACCTGCGTGAGTCACCTGGGCACACCTGGGGGCATCTGGGCACACCTGGGGGCACCTGGGCACACCTGGGGCACCTGGGCGCACCTGGGCACACATCTGGGGGCACACCTGGGTTTGGGGTCATGTTCTGGGTGCTCTGTGGGGGTGAGATCAGAGGTCTGAGAGGACAGAGGGGTCAGAGGTCATCAGGGTCAGAGGACAGTGATCGGTGGGGTCAGAGGTCAGTGGGGTCAATGGGCAATGGGGTCAGCAGGGTCAGAGGTCAGGGGTCACCATCCCCCCCCGCAGATGCTGTTGACCGCCGTGTTCCTGAGCGCTGTGGCCACCAACAGGCTGGACCCCGGTGAGCGGGGGAGGGGATGGGCGGGGCAGCCCCGCCCTGTGGGCATGTCCGCGCTGACCCCGCCCCCGTGACGTCACGCAGGGGGCAGGGCGCTGTCACTGCTGTCGGGGGCGCTGGGCCTCGAGGCCAGTCACCTGTCCGGCCCCTCCCCCGGCAGGTGTACCTGAGCCCCGGTTGGGTGGAGCTGCCGGGGCGTGGCAGGTGGGGCCAGCTGAACATGGGGCGTGGCTATGGGGCATGGCTTCTGGCACTGCTGGGGGCGGGGGTCACCCCGAGGTCATGGTGGGGTCACAGGGGCTGGGGTCACCCCAAGGTCATTGAGGGGTCACAGAGGGGTCATGGGGGTGGGGTCACCCTGGGGTCATGGGGGGGGGTCACAGGGGCTGGGGTCACCCTGGGGTGGTGGGGTGGGGCTGTGGGCGTGGCCTGACTCCTGCCCCACCCTCAGGGAACCTGTGGCCATGCCCCCCGGAGACAGGGCAAGGGGCGGGGCCAGAGCCAGAAGAAGGTGGGGCCGGCGCCTCCTTCGGGGCCCTGCTGGGGCTGAGCCTCCCCTCGGCCTCAGGTGAGACCCCGAATTCGGGCTGGGGGGGCCCCAAAATGGGGGTGGGGCCCCCAAAAGTGGGGATCCCAAATTCTGGGTGGGGGGACCCCAAAGTGGGGATGGGGGGACCCAAATTCGGGGTGGGGTGGCCCCAAAATCGAGGTGGGGCCCCCAAAATTGGGGATCCCAAATTCGGGGTGGGGGGGACCCCAAAGTGGGGATGGGGGACCCAAATTCAGGATGGGGGATCCCAAAGTGGGGAGGGGGTGGCCCAAAATTGGGGGACCCCAAAATGGGGAAGGGGAACTTTGGGGTTCAGGATGATTTTGGGGTTCAGGGAGATTTTGGGGTGCCCCCAGGGGTGCTGTGAGGGATTTTGGGGTTAGGGATGATTTGGGGGTGTCTCCCAGGGGTGCTGTGAGGGATTTTGGGGTTCAGGATGATTTGGGGGTGTCTCCCAGGGGGATTTTGGAGTTCAGGGAGATTTTGGGGTGCCCCCAGGGGTGCTGTGAGGGATTTTGGGGTTCAGGAGATTTTGGGGTGCCCCCAGGGGTTCTGTGGGGGTTTTTGGGGTTCAGGATGATTTGGGGGTGTCTCCCAGGGGTGCTGTGAGGGATTTTGGGGTTCAGGATGATTTCGGGGTGTCTCCCAGGGGGATTTTGGAGTTCAGGGAGATTTTGGGGTGCCCCCAGGGGTGCTGTGAGGGATTTTGGGGTTCAGGAGATTTTGGGGTGCCCCCAGGGGTTCTGTGGGGGTTTTTGGGGTTCAGGATGATTTTGGGGTGCCCCCAGGGGTGCTGTGGGGGTTTTTGGGGTCAGGATGATTTGGGGGTGTCTCCCAGGGGGATTTTGGGGTTCATGGATATTGGGGTGCCCCTAGGGGTGCTGTGGGGGTTTTTGGGGTTCAGGAGATTTTGGGGTGCCCCCAGGGGTGCTGTGAGGGTTTTTGGGGTTCAGGATGATTTGGGGGTGTCTCCCAGGGGGATTTTGGGGTTCAGGAGATTTTGGGGTGCCCGCAGGGGTGCTGTGGGGGTGCAGCCACTGCGCTGAGCTCAGGGACATCGCTCGCTCGGTCCTGGCCGGGAGCCTCGGGGCCGCCACGGCCACGGCCCTGGGCTGTATCCGACCCCCAAAATCTGGGGGGGACCCCAAAACCGTGGGGAGGACCCCAAAATCTGGCGGAGACTGTAAAACATGGGAGGGACCCCAAAACGTGGGAGGATTTTGGGGTGCTGGGTGGGATTTTGGGGGGATTTTGGGGGGATTTGGAGGATTTTGGGGTGCTGGGTGGGATTTCGGGGGGATTTTGGGGGAGATTTTGGGGTATTTTAAGGGATTTTAGGGCGTTGTGGAGGATTTTGGGTTATTTTAAGGGATTTTGGGGTGCTGGCTGGGATTTTGGGGGATTTTTGAGGGATTTTGGGGGATATTGGGGTGCTGGGTGGATTTTGGAGTATTTTGTAGAATTTTGGGGGGATTTTTGAGGGATTTGGAGGATTTTGGGGGGATTTTTTACAATTTTTATGGGGATTTTGGGGTGCTGGGCGGGGTTTTTGGAGTGCTGGGTCGGATTTTGGGGGATTTTTAAGGGATTTTGGGGTGCTGGGAGGGGTTTTGGGGTGCTGGGTGGGATTTTGGGGGATTTTAAGGGATTTTGGGGTGCTGGGTGGGATTTTGGGGGTATTTTGGGAGATTTGGTAGAATTTTTTGGGGGGATTTTGGGGGGTTTTGAGGGGATTTTGGGGTGCTGAGAGGAATTTTGGGGGAATTTGGGGGAAATTTGGGGGATTTTGGGGAAATTTTGGGGATTTTGGGGGATTTTGTAAAACTTCTGGGGGGAATTTTGGAGGCATTTTGTAGAATTTTTGGGGGGATTTTGTAGAATTTTTGGGGGGAATTTTGGGGGGATTTTGTAGAATTTTTGTGGGAATTTTTGTGGGAATTTTGGGGAGATTTTGGGGGAATTTTGGGGATTTTTGGGGCTTTTCCTTGACGGCCAGACCTGAGCGCGGCGCTGCTGCTGGGTGCCGGCGTGGAGGGGCAGCTGCTGTGGGACAAGTGAGTGTCACCCGTGTCACCTGAGTCCCCGTGTCCCGGGCAGTGTCCCCACGCTGTCCCCACGCTGTCCCCGTGTCCCGGGCCGTGTCCCCACGCTGTCCCCACGCTTTCCCCGCTGTCCCCGCAGGTTCGGTGCCGCCCTGGGCGGGGTCCCGGGCAGTGTCCCCATGTCCCAGGCAGTGTCCCGGGCAGTGTTCCCATGTCCCGGTGCTGTCCCCATGTCCCGGGCAGTGTCCCTACGCTGTCCCCACGTTGTCCCCATGCTGTCCCCGCTGTCCCCGCAGGTTCGGAGCCGCCCTGGGCGGGGTCCCGGGCAGTGTTCCCATGTCCCCATGTTGTCCCCACGCTGTCCCCGTGTCCCGGGCAGTGTCCCCACGTTGTCCCCACGCTGTCCCCGCAGGTTCGGAGCCGCCCTGGGCGGTTCTCGGTTCTCGATGCCGCCGCCTGGCCCGGAGCCGCGCGCTGCCGCTGCCGCGTGTGAGTGACACCAATGTCCCCAAATGCCCCCAATGTCCCCAATGTCCCCATATCCCCAATGTCCATAAATGTCCCCAAATGTCCCCATGTCCCCAATGTCCCCAAATGTCCCCATGTACCCAATGTCCCCTCAGGCGCTGTCCCGGGGCCGGCTCTGGCTGCTGGTGGCCACGGTGACAACGGCGGCTCTGGGGGTGCTGCTGGGCTCGCTGGACCTGCTGGCCCCGGTGCTGTCCCTGTGCGTGTCCCCTCCCGGTGACCTCCAGGTGACCTCACGCCCCTCAGGCTGTGCCTGACCTCCTACCTGGGGCTGAATTTGGCCTGCGCCCTGCAGGGGCTGCTGCCCACGCCCGGCTGGAGCCCGCACTGCCCGCTGTACCACTGGTCAGTGAGTGACCCCTGAGTGACCCCTGTGACCCCTGAGTGACCCCTGACCTCCCAGTGTCCCAGTGTCCCTGACTGTCACTGTCCCTGTGTCACTGCCCCAGCCCACGCCCGGCTGGAGCCCGTGCTGCCCGCTCTATCACTGGTCAGTGAGTGACCCCTGAGTGACCCTGAGTGACCCCTGAGTGACCCTGAGCGACCCCGAGTGACCACTGAGTGACCCCTTAGTGACCAATGAGTGACCCCTTAGTGACCAATGAGTGACCACTGACCAATGAGTGACCCGAGTGACCCCTGAGTGATCCTGAGTGACCCCAAGTGACAAATGAATGACCCTGAGTGACCCCCGAGTGACCCCCTGAGTGACCCCCTGAGTGACCACTGAGTGACCACTGAGTGACCACTGAGTAACCCTGAGTGACCCTGAGTGACCCCCGAGTGACCCCCTGAGTGACCACTGAGTGGTCATTTAGAGCAACAAAATTTTCTTAGAGTGAAAACCAAAGTGATAAGGGGAAAAAAAACCAAAAAGTGAGAACAAAAATTATGCCTGTAAAGCACTGGTATTGCTTGTTGTAAGGTTTGTACTCTACTGTCACTGCTTCTCATCTGAGCAGCCAAAACCTGGTGGTAGATCCTGGCAAGTAAGAGGACAATTGACAGATCAGGTGTTTCTTTAATAAAACTAAATAATAGTTTATTTTAAAGAACATTTATTTTAAAGAAAGAGAATGTTACACTTAACAGATAAAGAGAATAAAACAATGAAGAGAGAGACCTCTGGTCCCAAACACAAGCCCTCAGAACTAAGCACCCATCCCAAAGTCCCCTCTGCCAAGGCCATGCAGCCACACCTTGCTCCTCACATCAGCTCTGCAGTTCTCCTGCAACTCCCTGACCTTGTCACAGACCTCAGGACAATCCCAGCTGTTCTCCTCCCTTTGGCCAGGGAGCAGTGAAGTCGGGTGTCCTGCTGTGTGCTCTGAACTCTGAACAAGGGGAGATGGACAGGCCCCCCAGTGCACAGGAGCTCAGTGAACTCTCAGCTCTGCCCAGCAGCACCACAGGAGCCAGCAGCAGAGCAGTGGGGAAAGCTGACATTTTGTTCTGTGAGGGCACTACTCCTGTTTCTGCCTCAAAATAGAAAGGGATGTGAAGTTTTAATAAAGGTCAGCTTCCAGAACAGCAGCAGTTCCCAGAGAGGGTGGCTAACACAGGGGCTGGGTAGCAGGGCAGGGGAAGTGGCACAGGGAGGGAGCTGGAATGGAGCTCAGCTGGGCTGGGAGACCAGAGAAAGCAAACAGGGAAAAGGGCAAACAGGGCTACTGCAACTCTTAAAACTCTTCCTGTCTCAGCAAACTCTGCTGTTCTCCTCTCCCATTATGTGCCCAGTGGCTCCCAGTATCCAGGGATATTGCACTGCTGACCACTCTTCACTCCTCCCCTGCTACCACCCACCCATGCCCAGAGAAGCTGCTGTGTCAAAACCAGAGGGAGAGCTACAGAATTCCTCCTTGGCAGTCCCACTGAAAAGTCTGGGAATCACTGCTCCAGATAAGTTGAATTTAGTTTCTCACAAGAGTTTACTGCCAACTCATCCTCTGTCAACTTGGCTGCACTGGTACCTGCCATGGCAGCAGCCTTACAGAGCCTGCTGATTTCCCAGGCCATTCTGCTGCTTCCATGGAAAAACCCAGGGCTTGTACTGGGATGGAACCCAAGCACTGCACACAGGGCTAACAAACCTGACAAATGTGTGTGGGGTTGCGTTTTTTAAAAAATGTGTTTAATGTGGACTTCTCTCTCCTTTAATCTGACAGGCAGTTAAATCTCTTCCTACACTTCACAAAGCCTGTCTTGCTGTCACTGCTCCACTCCTGAATTCCAGACAAGAGCACTGAACCTATCTCATGTACATCAGTTAAACCCATCAGGGAGACCTGACTAAAAAACTATTAAGAGTTTGAACAGTGTACTATGTACAAAAAACTCCTCATCTCTTCTACTTTTTTCTCACTTCTGTGCCTAGTTGGAAAAAATATTCCCACCTCACACTTAAAATAGTTAGAGACAATTAAAATGTCCACCAATTATTTTGCTATTCTAATTTCCACCTTAGTTATTATTATTTCACAGCTTTATCAGCATTACTTTTTAAAAGACAAACCTGTAAATTATACATTTGTAAAAACCACCCTTTAGAGCAACTTGTTTAGTTTCAAGTTCTTGCCTAATGAAAGCAGCAATGCAAATACAGAGTTTTATTGGTGTTCACTGCAGAATGCATTTCATATCCCAGGCCTGATGAAGTCAAGCACACTTGCACTTTATTGGCATCTTCTAGTGGAAAAGTGCATTAGAAACTTCATATGGAGATCAACATAAACTCTTTAATAGATATTTATTCACAAAAACAGGATGCAATACTGTGATTTTAAAATACCCTGAAACAACACTATAGGATAGAAGCATTTGAAACCTTCAGAACTACTGGCCCACAGCAAATACTCCAGTATTACTTTGGAAACCAATTAATCTTATGGATAGCTTCTGAATAATTCTGTCATGTTACTCTTTGTGGTGTGTTTGTGAAATCAGGAACATTTTACTACAAAGTTGTAATGGGTGAGGTACTTGGGACTGGCTTTTACCTTATACAGGGAACACAAGTGCATCAAAGCTGTAATGAAACAATTTCCTGTACCTGAGGCTAGAGCAGAAAGTGCCAGTGCAAAGATCCCCTGCCTGAAGCCCAACCGTGACAGGCAAACACATCCAAAATGCAGCTACTGCCTCTCTATTCACACCTGCTGCAAAATGCCCAGGAGTGCTGAAGCTGCAGAACAATAACCTGGTTGGCAAAAAGGTATAAAACCACAAAATACTGCACTCACCAAAGCAATGCCTTGAGTCTCTTCATGTGTAACTCTTACAATATTTGGCACACTGGTATTAATGAAAAAATATCCAGAACCTTGTTGGAGGAGAAGTTCTGCCTGCAAAACCAGAAAAGCATCCTGAATTAAGATTGTATCTTTCCAGTAAAGCTGTCTCCTCACACACCCCCTGTAATGTGTGATGTTTTCCTCCCTGCAGCTGGAAAGCAGCAGAGTAACTCCTCACCTGGATGTCAGGGTGGTTGTAGATGGAGAGCCCAGTGGGGCTCACTTTCACATCTTCCACAAGCATCACTTCAATGGTGGCAAGCCCTGGGAGCACAGCCTCGTGCTGCAAGAACAATGTTAGCAGTTACAGAAAGAGGCACAACACTGCCAGAGTCCTGTGTGTGCAGAGAGGATGTTTAAAGCAGGCAACCAAAGCTCAGAGCACAGGCTGAGGGATGAGATGCCCACAAGATCCAGAGGGCTCAGTCAGTCAGCACAGGGAAGGGCATCCTCAGGGCTGCTCTGTTCTGCACCCCTGGCCAAGGCAGAGGACAAGGGCCCAGCACTGCAGGATCAGTGAATGATGTCTGACAAGCACAAACAGGGTATTAACTCTGAGCCACGGGCCCAAGTCATACAGAATGATAAGGAAAATGCACAAAGTGTTCTAGCTCTAACTCATCTTTTCATGCTTCTTAGCAGGCCACCAAAAGAAATTCTTCCTTCAGTGTAAGTACATGAATACTGGACCAAATGCAGCTTTAATCACTCACTCATAACAACATCAGCTCAGAAAAGGAAAAAGATTTCTAGAGGAAGTCAGTACTCTGTACCCATTTCACCTCATTAGTAGAATTATTTCCTTGATGTAGAAAGGATGTGATCTTTCCCTAATGACATAATAGGGTGTTCCACTTAAACATGGAACAGCAGTCAAAACATCTTAATATCCCATCTACTAGATTTCTCTTTGCGTTTTTGGCTGCAAGAAAGGAGAATGGGCAGGTTTGAAAGCAGAACAGAGCAGCCCATTGCTGATGTACTTGAAAAATGCACCCAGGTCACCTCATTAAAAAAAACCAACTCATTCATGAGCCCACAAAGTGCAGCAGGACTGGCATCTACAGAGCCCTCCTAAATTTAAACACAGAGAATAGAACTTAAGAATATGCCAGTGTTCTCCGAACTCAAGGCAAAGTTTAGAGCAGCCTCTTTACTAATTATTTCTAAAAGTAAGAAAGAATATATAATACTGGTTTAACAAAGCAGAGCACAGTGAACTACAAAATTATTGTAGAACATCAAGTATCCATATTACAGCTCAATTTCTAAGAGAGAGAAAAAAAAAAAAAAAAAGAAACACAACCAAATATCTCAAATAACTTCAGCAGCAAAGTAACTGTGTCTCTGTGGTACTTCTCATTAAGCCATAGTCAAATTCTTCAGGGGAAACACATCTGCACCATGCTTTCCCAACATGAGAAGAGTGGAAACCTCACAGAAAAGTCAAGAACCAAGTGGCAAAAAAGATCACCTCTCAAAGAATTTACTAAGCAGATGCCACACCTGGGCCAAGCTGAGAAGAACCTGGCCCACAGAGTATTTCACATTACTGGTGCCATCTGCTACCTGCTTTGAGTTAAACCCTGTAACCTCTCATTGCATATTTAACTTTTTGCCTCAAGTATGTTTTCAAGGTACTGCATATAGTTCAAATCCACTTAAATCCTGCTAACAAGATTAAACAGACATTCCAGTTAGGAAGCAGAATATTTTAAGAGTCAGTTATTGCACATGCCAGGTTATTCCACAGGCTGAAACCTGCCCTTATGTTCAGTTTACAAAAGTGACATAAACAGAAAACTGCCAGCTGTTTACACCTGCCCTCTTTGTTCATCATCATTACCTTTTACTGTTTTTCTTCCCTAGCTAGGTATTTCAGGGAGTGGCTAATGTCTTGTAAAATGAGAGCCTGGGCTTATGGCTGGCATCAGGAAAAAAAAAGAGAGCATCAGTCAGAGCCCAGACTAACATATGGTCCATATGAGGAATCATTCAGCTTTTGCTTTGCTCATGCAGAACTTTCCCACCCAGCTCTGCAGGGGCAATAATCCATTTGCTTTCCCCAGTGACAGCTGCATGAAGCACATGGCTGCTTTAGTGAAGGACAAGCAGCAGGGATTCACCAATTCATAAAAAAACCCTACATTGAAACAAAACCAACTGAAACTCTTCGCTGTAATGCCCTTGCTCAGATGGTTAAAAAACTCCCAAGGACTTGGACAAATTTGATTTGGATAGCAGCACCTAGTGCAGAGGAAAGCAGGAAAACCATGAACCAGTATCAAACCTCTGCAGAAGTAACCAGACTGCACCAGGGAGCTGCCTGATTTGTACAGTACTGTGTGTGGAGGAAATAAAGCCACCAGAACACTGGGCATTGACCACAGGGAAATGGCAAATTCCCCCAGGTACTGTTACCAGTATGTGGGCTCTGGCTGCCTTCAGGTGGGGCTGCTGGAATCCAGTGGCAGTGGCAGAGATGGCAGCAGTTCCAAACTCACGGTCAACTACCACAGTTTGTAAGCCTAGAATGCAACAAAGATGAGAAATACATTCAGCTCCTCTAGGCTCATTCTCATCAGACAAGAACTTTCTCTCTCAAGACAGGTTCTAGACATTGGACTTGGTTCCTTTTTTCTCCTCTCTTTAATAGCACACACTAAAAAATGTACATTGATGTTAAACTGAAGTATGACTGCAGATTACAGTAATTTCTTTAATCAAGATGAGACACTGACAAACAGATTTAATCTGGACCTTCAAATAAAGAAATGCTCATTTCAGCCCATTCATGCCCTGCATTTTCTTCTGACCATTGCCCTCCTCCTTCAGAGTCAGCTCCATTGGCAGCTCCGTCTCAATACAAGCAATGGCCTTATTTGTGGATTCCCACACAATACTAAGGGAGCTGAAGTTATCAAATTTCCTGCCTTGCTGGTCATAGGCAGCCAAATCCAGCACTGGATTGCAGTAACTGGAAACAGGAACCTGAAAAAGAAGGAATATTTTGAACTGAACCGATACAACCGGATTTTTTAATCATTAAAGAAAACATATGCTGAGTTCCATGAGGTTTGTTACAACATCAATGCATAAGGAATGTTTGTTAAAAGGAGCCATCAGTGCAAGGCATTCAGCTGTGCTCCAACAGCCCTGAGATTATCTCAGCTGGTCAGAGCATAGTGCTGCTTACACCAGGTAGGTTCAAGTCCTCTATGGGCCATTTAGAGTTGGACTCCATGATCCTTATGATCCCTTCCAACTCAGAGCATTCTGTGAATCTCTGAACTCTAAGGGGGTTTTACTGGAGCATGGGTTTGGGGTTTTTTTAGCCAGTGAATTACCTTAAAAAAAACAAATCCCCAAACCAACAACAACAAAATTGAACCACAGCTCAATGAAATTGTTTTTAAAATTCAAATAAATGATGACAAACAGCGCTGTTTGTTAAAGCTCAAAATTCTGGTGTTGCTCTGGTGAAATGCATTAGCAACAGCAGTGCACCAAGGTAAGCTGACACATAATGGAGCCAGAAAAGCAGGTGAGCTCTGAGGTGGCTAACAATACACAAAAGTCTCCATCTCCTCTTGTTATTACATAGAAGCTCTTTAAAATGATTCATTTTAGGGAAGGAGGATGACTTTTACATTTGCCGGGGAATATTAACACAACAAAATGTGGCTTACTCAGCAGCCAACATGTGACAACACCCGTTAGCAAGAAAAACAGAATAGCAAAGTTCCTTATGCCTGATAATCTACACATATCTACTGTCCCTTTACTGCAGGACTCCCCCAGCCTGCTCTGTGCAGGAGCCCCCAAGGGCACAGTGTGGCCACAGCACCAGTTACTGCTCCTCTTGCAGCAGCTGCCATGTTTCACACATGGAGCTCCAAACACTGATTTTTCAGCTGTAAGAACACCTTCTTCTCCTGCCACTTCCCAGGCTTACCAGTTGCTTGCTCTGCTGGAGCAAAGGGCAGGAGAGAGGAAGCTGAGGGCTGCCATAAACAGGAATCAAAGCCAGCCGGGAAGGGAGAGCACAGATGAGCTTCACGGCAGTGGGCTCAACCACTGGGAAAGGGCTGGTGACTGTGGGGCTGCTCCCAACTGCATTAAGGTAATAACCTGAAAGCAGCAAATGAGGAAAGAGTTTAGTTCAGGCATGCTGTATTTCCACAGGTCTCAGTTACACTGTGATATCAGAATGAAAAGCAAAAATACAATGCTTGGGGATTTACAGCACTATTAAGACACAGGAAGATGTAAAAGAGGGAGCACATCTCAAGAACAATTCTTTATCGCTATGAAAGTACTGTTCCTGGGAACTCTTTCCTCGGTGTTCATGTTCATGACTATCAAATTTGATTCAAACAACAAATCTCATGTAACTGAGAAAGGAAACAGCAGGTATTCTTGCATAGTGAGAACAGACCAACCCAAAGGTGACATTTATAGTCACTTCAGTGTGTTTAAAAACATCTTTTATTTTACACTCCTTTTTTTAGCCTTCAGCAAAGTGAAGTGGATATAAAACCAGAGAAGGCTGAGGCAGCTCTGGTCGCCTGCCCCATCCCCCCATGCACTGGTGCTGGGCAGAGCCACGCAGGTGTGATGTGCTGGGGACAGCCAGCCTTGCACAGACCTGCACATCAACACCAAGGCCTGTTCCTTTGGAATCTGCACTGACAGGAACAGCTCCACTTTGCAAAGTGTCCACTGAGGAAATCAGTGGAACTTGGCAGCCCAACCAAAATGCTTAAGCCCTGCAGAATTGCAGAAGAATATTATATTGAAGCTAAAAGCTTCATGGGCTGAGGAGGGTGAGTAAAGCAGGAGAAATCACTTCTATATGTTGGAGAGAACAAAACCAAGAGGAAAATGAGCACAGACACGCTCACCAAGGCTGCACAGAGAGTAGAGCAGTCAATTCCTAGGGCTGCCATTTCTTAGAATAAACAGAATTACACTGGAAGGTACCACAGTTAAGAGGAGCAGGTCAGACAGAGGAGTCAGCCTGCTCAGTAACCTTCTGCTCTGATCCTATTCATGTACAATGAACCTGCACTTATTAGGATGTTCAATGCATCCCACAACATAAGGCTTCCACAACTTGCATTTATACTGCAATAAACCTGTCGGAATCTGTGGGTATTGGTGATTCCGAGATTGTAGAAAGTCTCTGTCTTTCTGCCCCGCTGCCAAAGCAGAAGCCATAATTCGTCTGTGCTGGTTTCAAGGTGGTTTATTCTGTTTATCTCTAACATGTTCTGCTGCCCTGCCGCAGGTCTGTCCTGCAGGGCAGCGTGTGGGGCTCTGCCCCTCAGTGGGATGGTACAAACATTATATACCAGAAACTACGTGTACTATATTTACAATAATGTGCCAATATCTATCATCTACGTTGAACAGTGTGTTCCCAGCCTAAACCAATAGAAAAATGCCAACACTACAGTGAAACATGGAGGGCATGAAGAAGGAGGAAAAGGACAAGACACACCCAATTTCCTCCATCTTGTCCCCTCTGAACCCCTAATCTAGAAACCTATAATTTTACTTTTGCACCCGTGTCACACTTAATTATTACTCTTATCAAACACTCAAAGCTTGTAATTCATCCTGTAAGATTGAAAACTCCTCTCCATGGACAGAGATCACAGACAGTGTCTCTCGGGGCTCTGTCCAGGGGGGTTCCTGACCCCTGCCAGGGTCCCAGACCTGCCAGGGCAGCCAGAGGGAAGCCCTGGATTCCCACATAAACCCATCATAAAACACTTTTAATGTAATGTTGTTGTCATGGTTTGACACAGGAAGAGAATTTTTTTTTAGAAGGAAGAGGTTCATCCAGTCAGGGGTCAGGTTTAGATATTGACACTTGGGGTGACCAATTGAAGGTGGACACGCCTCTGAGAACACAGAGGGGTTAAAAGCGGAATTCCCAGGAGGACTCGTCCTTCTTTGGTTCCGGTCATCGCATGATACAGACCTCCCCCCGCAGCCTGGGCTGGGTGGGGGAGGGGAGCCATGCGGCCTGCACAGGTAGGCCAGGAGGTAAAAGATCTGAACCGGCTGGGTCAGCTCCTGCAGATGGAAGGGTGGAGAAATCTGGGATGTCTCCGTTCTCCCCCAGAGTCTCTCTCTCTCCCAAGAGAGAAAAAAGAGACTCGGTGGTTTTATCAGCAGTTCGCCGCAGGGAAGGAGAAGAGCGGGAGGGCCGCAAGGTGCCCAGCCGGGCTGTGGGAGCTGGAGCCTGGGCAGCGAGCCATCCTTGGGAGTTGGGACTTTTAACCCTTCCTGAGAAATGAAGGCTTTATGAAATATTACTCCTCCTGAATTTGAAGAAAAGAGAGACAGCTTGAAACCTCAGATGTTTAGAGAAGAAGGTTGGGGGCAGATGATAGAGTGGCTTTTTGGCTGGACTCTGCTTGTTTACCATAGACTGAACCACTCTTTCTTTCAAGAGGGACTGCATTTTAGGGGGATGCATTGGTGAGCCAAGAGACCTTCTGCAGCAACTACCAGTTTTGGAGTGGACAGAGAGAGAGCTGAGGAGGGTGTGAGGATGCCCTCCATCTTCAGGAAGAAGAGAAGGCGATCTCTGTCTTTTGGACCCTCGGCCCCAGGGGAAAATGGGGGGGACTCTAGTCCCGAATTGTGATACTGGACTGTTGTTCCTGGTGGTCCTTGGCAAAGCATCCTTAAAGGGGCCCTATAAGCAGTCTCTGTCCATGCCCGGTGGTGAGAGCACTGTGACATGGAGAGGAGAGTGTCACACTGGCCTGTGTGTCTGGGCGGTGCCACGTGTGACATTGGAAACACAAAAGGTGGCAGTTGTGTTTCCTGGGGGTCTATGGTTGCAAGGGGGACTCCTCTCTTCCCCGATGGACTCAGTATTGATTATATTGAAGGGTGAAAACTTGATTAAGGATCCAAATGGGTCTCGCTGGGGTTTGGTGGAGTTGGGTGGAGGGAGGAGAAATGTTTTGGAAGGTTTTCATTTCGAATTTTGTGTGTTTTTATTTCCTTTCTTTCCCTTTTATAGTAGTAGCAGTAGTAGTAGTGTAATAAAGCTTTTTCCTTTCTTATTAAGTTTGGCCTGCTTTGCTCTGTTCTTGATCACATTTCACAGCATTTGATTGGTAAGTTGTATTTTCATGGGGCGCTGGCATTGTGCCAGCGTCAAACCATGACAGTTGTGAAATGCTCACTCTAAAATCTGCATCAAAATGCATAAACAACATACTTACCCAAGTTCTTTACTGGCTCATTATAAAAGCATCTAGCTATGTAACAGGCATATGGCACCATAAATCTGTCTGGAGCCAGTTCTCAGCACCTGATGGAGGGCAACAGCAGGCCCTTCTGGCACTCACCTGCTCTCCCAGGCTCCTGCACAGCACCCTAACCCAGTGCTGGTTGCTCTTTCGAGGTGGGGGAAGTTCAAGTAAAGAGGAGGCAATGCTTTCTGCATCCTCAGCAGCAACGTTCCTGAAGAACTTGGAAGGTTCTTGGACCCATGGCTTCGGTCCTCCTTCAAACAACATATCCTTAGAGGAACCCAAAGTCACTAAAACGACTGATGGTGGATCGATAGCCTGTAATCAATTAATTAATTGAAAATTAATCATCTATGTACACTGTTTGGTTGTGCTCTGCAAAATAAACCTCCTTCTGAATGGAACAGCTCTACTTGGATAAGGCTGTGATTTCTCCCATGCAGTGGTTTGTCAGCACACTTAGTGAAAAACAGAGCTGCACCAAAATCCACAAGGATTCTGTCCAGCTGGATTCAAAGGAAGCAACAGATCCAAAGACAAGTTTTAGCTGCATTTTAATCACATCTCTCTCATGAAGAATTACAGCAAAAGGGAGATCCCTAATATATTCTTCTGAGCACAGAGAGATAGTATTCTGCTATACTTTTAAAGAAGTATTTAAAATGGATGAAATTACATCAAATTGTACTTTCACTTGCCAGTGCTCTCTCCAGAACAATTCTGTGTATGTAGTTATTCTCCTACACAAGTTTTACTTCAAATCTGTCTAACAAATTCTGCACTGATGTGTATCCCTGGCACAGCCTGTGCAGTTCACCACCACAGCAGTGAACCCGACATTTAGTGCACAAAAACCTTTCCAGTTTGTGTTTCACAACGTCATATTACATTCATTATCAACACAAATCTGTAGTATTTGCACTAACATTTTTTCCATATTGAGGGAAAGCTATGGTGAAATACTCGGACTTCAGCCTGCAGTCAGTGCTAGGCTTCTGCAGATGAGGCAAGAAAATAAGAAAGCAGCCTCTTCTGTATTTCCATCTACTGACCCTGGACTCAGCTTCTTTCTTATTTTCTTCACTGAACCAGCCAGTGGTGGAATGTAAACCCACCCACCTCAGTTTTTCAAGCCTATTCCTTGCATAACCTGCTCCCTGTCATGTAAAGGTGCTTCAGTGCTGGATCCTGGATCTCTCCAGGAGCAGAGGAAGCAGACTCACTCTCAGCGGGAGATAAGTGGCGATGGTGATGCTGGCACTGAGGTGCACGTGCCCGTGGGTGTACACAACCACCAGCCTGGTGTACCCCTGAAATTCAGCCTTCAGTCTCACTCCACTGCAAAAATCAGCAGTTGGCTTAAGTCTTCCTGTCAGATAAATTAAAAATATACAAGAGCTTATTTGCAAAGAAATGTCCAGGCTTGTTCATCAAATTCAACACAGCTGTTTGAAGGCTACCTACCAAAAAGATGGAGAGAACTTTCTACAAAGATATGTAGGGACAGGACAAGGGAGAATGGCATCAAACTGAAAGAGAACAGGTTTAGATAGGATACTGGGAAAGAATTCTTGTCTGAGAGAGTGGTAGGGCTCTGGCACAGGGCGCCCAGAGAAGCTGTGGCTACCCCTGAATCCCTAAAAGTGCCCAAGGCCAGGCTGGACAAGGCTTGGAGCAGCCTGGGACAGGTGAAATGTGTCCTTGCCCATTGCAGAGGGTGGGGCTGGAAGAACTTTTAAGGTCTCTCCATCTCAAACCATTCTGCATAAAAAAGCAAATATATCCTCAAAATAAAACTACTTGGACCCCCTCCTCTCTGAGGTTGGCAGTTCTGTGGGGATACTGTACAGAACTATGAATCAGTGATTTAAGGGAAAAGGGTGACTTGGGAGAGGTGTGACCTGTCACCAGTTTAACTTCCAAACCAGGGAGGGAGTTAAAGCACCTTCAAGTGGGCTGAACACGCCAGGGTTCTCCAGCTCCACCCCCAGCTCCAGCTGTGAGCAGTCGCTCAGGGGGACCAGCTCGCCCCTGTCCACGCTGGTCCGGCCACTGATCCTCAGGGGCAGCTCCAGCACCTGCCCCACGTGTGCCTTCACCTGGCAGGAAGTGAACTCCATGGCGCTGGGCTCGCTCACGTACACCTGCAGGGAAGGAACAGGGACAGGCTGGGTCACTGCTCTGCTCCACGCCAGCCCAAGCCCACAGCAGCTTGGTGAGCTTCCCTTTTGCTGCTGCTCCTGTCATTCTCTCTTCTGCTTTACTGACTTTGAAGTGTGGACTGTTGTGTGCTATCACCAGGGGGTATCATCACCAGCTGGGAGAGGTTTAGCGTCCATTAAAGAATCTACCTCAGACCAGAGATTTCATAGCTATCACAGCTTTTATTTGCAGGATCTTAACTACTTAATCTTCTGTAACTGGCTTCAGGATACCAAACTATATGGGACAGAATTAAAGCTGTAATCTGTGTGGATTAACTACTCCTGAACTAATTACTACTAAAAACTTACTCACTGAGGTCAGTAAACAACTCTGAAGAGCTGTTCCACACAGAAAGCAGCTCCTAACACAGGAAAAAAAGCATTCAAAAATAACCTATTCAGATTGTGCAATACACTGCTTTGAAAGCTCACATGGTGAGAAGGTTTCTTTCTGTCTTCAGGCTTTGACTTATGTTTGAGGATAAGAAGTTTCAGCTGAAAAAATCTTCCTCCCTGTGTCTCCAACTGGTAACTGTTGCACTGCTAAAAAGCAGCATCTTAGGCTGTTCAGAGAATTATTTCAGAGCGAGTGTGTAAGCTAAATTCTGAACAGATTTTAATTAATGTCACACCCCTCCCTTTGGGGCCACCCGATGTACTGTTCCTGCATTCTCCTCACTCCAAACCACACACACTGACCACAATGACCTAAGAACAGGGGATGGTCTACAGAGACACCACAAAATCCCTCTTGGGAGCTATGTTTTTTATTGCCATTTTCTCCTAATTTTCCTAAAGTACATTTTTTTCTCGGCCAACTCAGGTATTTGCAGTCCGTCTGCAGCATGGTGCTCAGTTCAGTTACTTCTCCAGACAGAAATTTCCTTGCACATCCCGATAACAACTGTCACCCTTTGGTATCAAGGGAGAACACCCACCTATCACCCTACAGAATGAATTTTTAGTTTGGCTTGTCTGCCTAGATGGCCAGGCCAGGAGTTAATTACCATTTCCTTCTTGCACTTAAAACTTCCAACAGGGAAAAAGGCTTGCCAAGGAAATCAGGAAGGGGCAAAAATGGGAGTCAAGTTAATGCACTGGACAGTGCTGGATCCCCTAAAGCACAAAGTGAAACAAATCACTTAACCTGCCACAGGGCAGGAAGTGGAAGGGGATTGCCTATGGCATTCTCAGTGCCTTTGCTGTTTCCAAAAGCCACATTCAAGAACAATCACTGAACAATGAATCTCTTGCCTTCATTTCGCCATAAAGCAGCAAATTCCACACGTCGAACACCTGAATAATGCTGACCCCAGCATCGCTCCCCGTGCTCAGCACTCCTTTGACTGTCACTGTGGCTACTGCCTGGTTAGAAGAGGACCAGCTGAAGTTGCCACTTCCACCCTGAGCCTGAAATACAGAGGGGAAAATCTTTCAAATATTTAATCAAGTACATGGTTTTCACATTCCACAGCTTTGGCTATCTTGGGTGAAAACCAGGAATGCACTGAGAATAGGACATACAAATAAAATAACACCTCAGGACTTAATAAGCAATAGAGAGATGAGAAGATTTCTACCTGTCATTTTAATTTCAGCTTCTTTCATACACCAAAACAAATGTCAAAAGTTCCATCACAGTAAAACACGGGTGAACACTGGAGCCATTTTAAAATGTATATTTTTTCAATTTGTTTAACTTCCTCAGCATTTCCTTTAACCTTTTTCATAATTAAAAATGAACAAGGTGATAAATCTTCTCTAGAGAGACAGTGTGGAAAACAAACATCTAAATTATGCAGGAGCTTAGCTAGTAATTTTTACCAGGGAAAGAAAAAAAAGAAAATGAAGAGGAGGGTCATTTCCCTTCTTCCTTTCTTGGAGCACATGCACAATCTGATTACAGAAGGACACAGAAAAATAAACAGGCAGAGGTGTGTTACAGGACATGCATGGGATGTGGTGAGAAAGGCTGAAAGAATCCAAGGGCTCAGCATATTTGTAAAGGTGTTTCAGCTGAAACAGGGAGATGAGCAGAAAACATAAAACAGAAATACCCAATTCTTAATAACTATGAAGACTCAGGTCCCTGCCATAAACCCCAGATGCCTCACTACACTTTCTGTCTCTGACAGTCAGTATGCACTGAGGAGAGGAAGGGTAAAGCAGCTTCCCATGCAGCTTCACCATTAGCCAGAGCCTGGCAGGGAGCTCCACACTGCTACCTGGGAGCAGTGCCCTCCCCAGGAACCTCCAGGTGCCCACCTCGCACAGCTGCACTGCACCTCTCATGCGTGCGCCGAAGGAGGGCAACAGAAACCATCTCATTGGCACAAATATGAACAAAGCAACCCCCAACAAACCAGACAGCTGCCAAAGGAAAACCTGCCAGGCATTCTGGTACCATCTGGAGCGAGTTACTTCAGCTATAAACAGAATTTGGCTAGATCCAAAAATCCCTTTCAATTTATTTTCAGAAAAACTTTATTCACCCATTTGAAATAGCCTGACTGAAGCTATGCAGTGGGAGGCAAACTCTGATGGAGAGGCAGGAACAGTTGAGCTGTGTGTATGCTGTTGACCAGTTGTATTGTGGAATCTAGAGACCAGAAGAAAGGTCTCAGTTTCAGCAAAATTTAAATCTTGGGAGAAAAAGGTTTCTATGCTTTTATAGAAAAACATCAGAGTAAAGTAAGAACAGCGAGACAATTATTGCAGTACCATGAAGGAATGTTCTCTAGTGAAATACTTCATTATATATGCAAGATAAGGTGAGAACAGAACTGTGAAAGAGGTAGGAAACAAAACCCCATTTCCTTTCCTTTACTGGGAAAACTCCAGCAGAAGTATGAAGTACTGCAAATGCAGATTTAGTACTAAGAATTTTTACCACACTATGCTGGTGTGGTCAGGAATAGCATGAAGTAAACCAAACTAATCCCACAGAACAGACAAGTAGAGTTATGCAGGGCTTAACTCAGTGTAGCTGCCCTTAGACTTACACTGGAGAATGCAATTTAATCCTGTGAGATTGATTCTCTCCATGGAGTCACTGAATCAGTAAGGCTGTAAAAGACCTCTGAGATTATCAAGTCCACCACTGTCTTCAGGTCCCATACCCCATCATTTTTGAGCCCTTCAGGGATGGTGACTCCACCACTGCCCTGGGCAGCCTGTGCCATGGCTTGACAACTCTTCCTGTGAAAAAACTTTGTCTAATATCCAATCTAAACATGAGGATATTTCCTCTCATCCTATCCCTTGTTACCTGGGAGAAGAGCCTGGCACCAAGTGTCCTGCTGCCTATTTGCATATAGTTTAATTAACACAGATCCGACACTGAGCACTACTTTATGCCAAAAGGGAGAGGTAGGAGTTGTGCATCCAACACCTGAGTGCAGGGTCTGGGTATCACTGGCCTGGGATAAGAGTCTGGGCTGAGAAAGTACAACTTTCTTTTCCCTACTTAGACTGGAGATACTGGATACTGGCATACAAACCATTTGCTTCATGAAGCAAAAGGAATAACCGACAACTTGGGAGCAAAGACACACCTAGTAAACATTGAAATCATCCCTTCTGTAAATAAGCTGTGGCCTTTGCCTCCCTGGAACTTTGTATTAGGAGCACAAGGCGTGTGGCCAATGAGGAATACTGATGTACAAGGCTGGCAGAGTGCTGCTAATTTATCTTGTCATGCCCTTCTTTGTAGTCACTTCACACTCCCATTCGTATTTCCCATCCTTGCCAGCAAAGGGCAGCCTCTAATGATTGCTGTGGATCTTTGCATATAGGATGCTCCTGGAATTCCCAACCATTACAGGCATAGGTGCGTGGTGCATGCATGAGGGAGAGAGGAAGGGAAGACAAGAGGTAGAAGTCAGTGGGATTTTATGTTTGTTGGTTTCTTGGTGCTTTTTTAAAACTGTATACTAACTCCTGTAACTAATGTCCCATGAAGCTCCTCCAAGTTACATTTTGGATGCCACTGTGCCTGAAGCATCCACAGTCAGCCCTAGCTCAGTGGTGTCAGGCCTCAGTGTGCCTGCCCGAGTTACACACCCAGCAGCTGGGTACTTCTTTGGCATACCTGGATGGTGTACTGGTAGGCTCCTGCTTTTGGCTGACAAGGAAACATCAGAATGCTGGGTACAAGCAATATTGGAACATAGATCTCCGCATCCTGCTGGTTTCTCACTGGAACTGGGAAGGTATGAACACCTCCATCCTGCAAAGTGCAAAACCACGGTGTTATAAACGGCACCACAGAGCTTCCCAGAGTTAATGTTTAGTCCTTAGGTACAGACTTGTCCTTGAAAACACCTCAGAGAGGAAGGAAAACTATTTAGGACCACTTATGAACAGAGCTCCTAGTGAGCAAATAGCTCCTGGCAGCAAGGTGTGCCACTGTACTAAATGAGTGCTATTGTTATGAAGATACAGGTGCCCACATTAATTTAAAAGGCAAGAAAAAAGATACTCTTTCACTGCTCCTATTTTGAGACCATCCTTGGAGAACCAATCTGGAGGCTCAACACCTATATTTACTCTTTGCTCATCCCACTGTGTACAAAATTCAGCCTGAAAGTGCCCTTGCTCAGCCCTCCCTCCCAAACATTGGCCTTCACAGCTCTGCTGTCACTACAGTGCTACAACCCTCTGGCACAACACAGTGTTCCTGCAGTTCTGAGGGAAAAACAACTCTCAAGGGATGCTCTTCCACTGAAGAGAACATCTCTGACACAGAAAATGACTGAGGTGTATCACATTGAAGGAGCTACTAAATCCTACTCAAGGAATCACTAAATTGATTTTACAGGAAATGGGTTCAAGTGTTTAATTTTCAAGCAAAAGCAATTCACTTCCACACCACGTGCCCTCGTTAGCCATACATTCAACTGCCTGCCCAACCAGCAGAAAGTTAATGAATATTAATTTGGAGAAATGTGCAGGCTGATACATTTGGCATATTGTCATTCCAGAGTTTAAGGTCACTTACCAATTGATAGCAAACTTCCCCAATGTAACTGACTGCAGAACAAGGTCAGGGTATGAGTGATGATCCTACCACAATAAAGTGTAAAATTCCCTCAGCCTCTGAGAGGCCCCTTGCCCAGCACAAGGATCTGCCACAAGAAAAGAAATCAGTGCTGTGCACCACTGCCCTAACAGGAGTTTGCCACATGCTCGGGAGCAAAATTCCACGGTCTTTAATTTAAGCAAATCCTCTTTTCACTCAACTGACAGTTTTCATGAAGAAAGGATTTTAGAATTTGGTTCTTAATCTGTTAAAACAAAGACAGCTCAGACCCACGTAATTCTTAGGTTTCCTTTTGCTAGGAAGTCACTACTGCACAGCTCAATTAATTTTAGGCCTGCCAGTGAAGCAGAGGAGTTTTCACAAAGACACACCTGGTCAACTACTGATGTCAGTGCAGCATCAGTTGTGGTCTGACCTGCCTTTACAGCCATCACATAATGATAGGACCCATTCAGAGAGGACTGCAGCACCTCAAAGTGTTCTCCGGACAGCTCTGTAGTAATTCGGATATTCTAAAACCAAAACATGAAATAGAAATTGCCACAGGTGACTGACATCAGTGGAGGACAGAAAGCCCTAAACATACAACAAGAAGTCAGTAAGCAAATGTTTAATAACACAGTTCAAAGACACACTGCTGAAACTGATTAGAACTCTCCCTGTGGAAGTTTCAGTCTTTCAGTAAGATTTTACCTTTAGAGACATTAACTCCACAGAAAGTTTCTTTTTAAATTTCATGTTAAATGTAATTTAACATGAAAGTACCTATATTTATACCACTAAGTAGTTCATATTTTACAGTATTTTTCTAATTTTTTCCTTCTTCAACACAAAAGAACAAATTAATATACTGTCTCAAAGGCAGACTACTAAGCTCTAGCTCAAACTCAGATCTGTATCCCAAAAAGCAATTATGGGGAAATAAAATAATATTCCCCTAGATCAAATACTCTCAAAAGCAGTAATTCAATTAAATTTTTCTTGTTGCAACTGAATTATCTAAATTTTGTTTCCTCTGCAGTTTAGGAACTATGTGTATTTGGTACCTAGTATATAGAATTAAGGAAGAAGCTCTTCCCTGTGAGGGTGGGCAGGCCCTGGCACAGGGTGCCCAGAGCAGCTGTGGCTGCCCCTGGATCCCTGGGAGTGCCCAAGGCCAGGCTGGATGGGGCTTGGAGCAGCCTGGCACAGTGGAAGGTGTCCCTGCCCATGGCAGGGGTGGCACTGGGTGATTTCAGGTTGCTCCAAGCCCCATCCAACCTGAAAGACACTGCCCAACTTCCATTTTTTTTCTACAGCACTTCAGACTCCAATGACTTCACATTAATCACCCAGAGTGCTTTATTTTTAAAAAGTAACAACAACAAAACAAATGAAAAAATGAAGAGGCAAGAAACAACAAGCTTTGCACTGTCCTGTCTCAATGTAAATAGGAAATCACTCAAATAATTCCAAAGTGAGCCATGATTTAGGAGACAGTCACAGAAAAGTATCTAAACATTTCAACTCACATCAGATAAATTCACCTTATTGCTTGATTTATCATACACGTCAACTGTAATTTCATAAAGTCTGCCCGTTTCCAGGACCCATCTGTCACCTGGATGAACTGTAAATCCTGCAAAACAGGAAATATTGAACAGCACAAACCAACAGCCTCTTTATCTAATGGAGAAAAGCATTTTGCTTCTGGTGCCCACACTCTGCAGATGAACATTCATTATTTTAAACTGCTGACTACAGAGATAAAAGAAAGTACATTAAACCTATTTCACATTGAGCTACTTTTATGAATAAAATTCCTTTTCTGTGAAAGCTAACATTGAACGGAAGCATGGAGATACAGCATGAAAATCACAGAAACAAGGCCAGAAATTGCATTATTCAATCAGAAGACTGCAGCAGTACCAACCCAAATATGCAGGAGCTACCACACAGACACTGCTGGTGGGCAGCCAGGACACCCCCTGCGTGCGGATACCTGCGGCTCAGTCAAGGAACACATGGTTCAGCACAAGCCAAGAGCAGCATTCTCCTGGCACTCCTCAAGCCTCTTTGGCTATTCTAAAGCTAAGTGTGCACTGCAAATAAACATTCTCCCCACTTTACTGCAGGACAGTGAGCACTTTGGAGAGATCTCACTAGAGAATATAAGGACTGAAATGTAAACATTAAATAAAGCCCCATACATTTCTACAGTGACTGAGGGGAACAGACATGATTTAAGTGATCTTTTGCCAACTTAATTTGTTAAAGAATCCCAAGGCATCAGACAGCTGTGCTGAGACTGAATTCACAGCAGTGCTGCTTTCCACAGCTCCTGATTTCCAGACTCTCGACACAAATGAGGATAACTTGATCCTTCCGTGTTGCCAAGGGTGGAAAGCTTGTCTCCTGCCACAGAGTGGTGGCTGGAGAAGTGTTCCCAAGGAAGGATACTCTTGTGCACCAGGATGAGGTTGGTTTGGCCCTGCTGCAACGCAGTCACAGTGGATGTTGCCTGGTCCAGCTTGGCAACTGGCGGGGAGGGATCTCCCTTGGGATGGAGGATGTTGTTCTGGAGCTGCAGCTCCTACTGCTCTGATGGCATTGCTATTTCTGGACATGAAACAAAACACAGGAAACAATAAAAGCAGGTGTGGCAGTGGCTATCTGCTGCTAATTATTGCTGATTACTTTTTACTGATGCCTAGTGCACATATGAAATCAATATTTCTAGTGTCTTGTAAAAATAGCACTTCTGTCCTCACATCACACACACAAAATGAGTTTCTTGGCAAATTTAATGTCTGTGAAACTGCAATTCCCAACTAATGCAATCTCAGTATTTCGACCTAACATTCAACTGATTTCCAGCTTCAAAAAAAAAAAAAAAAAAAGATGAAAGGGAAAAAAGGAGAGAAAACTCAAGGCACTGCATTTTGAAATGGGCATAAAGCCAGATAACCCACATTTATAAAGGCTTCATTTTGTGGAGCAAATCCATTTGCCAATAAAACATTTTTTGTTAGAAAAGTTACTAATCTAAATTTGATTTAAGCAAGAAAGTCAGTCAATTCCTTAGTGACTGTCAACAACTAAAATGACAGTGTTAGCTCTCATTTTAAGTTACCCTTGTCTCCACATCCTTGACAAATCTGCAAGAGTATATTCTTAAGAGTCACAATTTTTTTGACAGAAAGAACTAAATAGCTCTATCACTGTGTGCCTTCGGAAAACAATATTAAACATTAACATATAGTTAAAACACAATTAAAAATTTCTCAGCTGTTAAAAATTCACACAAAGCATTAAAAAATAAAAATAAATGAGAATAGAACAAACCTGTGATCTTCCCTTGCCTCAGTTTCTGAACTCTGTACTGAATTGATGTTCCCACCAGAAGATAAATGTCATATGTTGGATTTAAAAATATGTTTTCCAAAATAAGCAATCTGACTTCTGCAGGCTGTACATTCTGTTGATAGAGGGGAAAAGAAAAGTAACCACATTAAATACAGCTCATTTGTTTGAAACAGACCATGAAGCAGGAACTTAGAATCTGGAAGTGAAAAACATTATTTGCTGCAATTTTATTTTTATTATTTGGCTTTTTAGTTTCATCTTGACTTTTGTCACAACAAAATGCAAGGGACAGTGAATGGTACAGAGATCTGCTCTGTGCACACAGTGCAAGAATGAAGAAAAAATTCATGTCGATATGAAGATCATTTTGGAGACTACAGAAAAACAGATGCTCATTCACACATTCAGAAATATGTCCTCCCCTCTGACATCCAGAAATCTTACCTTATAGATGCTTTCCTGAAGTCTTGCCTTTAATTTAGAACTCCCTGTTTTTATTCCAGACACCAGAATGGAATCTCCTTGCTTGGCAACTTTTTCCATTTCCAATATATAGGAAGGTGGGATGTAAGTGGATTCTAAGAACTTGAGAATACTGAAAGGTGAATCACAAAGTGAACAGAAAATTGTTAACCAACCTTTGTAAACCCACAGAGAAAGACCACCAGCATCTACTCCCAGCCACTTCCATTTTTAAGCCAATTTAAGATACTTGCCTGGGACCAGATATCCCAATTTTACTCATTCTTTGAGGTATCTGCAGCTAATTTCTGTGACAGGTAAGTTTGTCTGAAGCTTGCTTGTGAGCTATCACAAGACTGCACATGTTGTCTACAATTACCTCTCCCGTTTGTTCAGTAGGTGAGACTGCAAAAACTCTCTATATTGTAGAAGAACTGATGAGCAAGACCCAAAGCTTATGTTTATAAAAGCAATAGCTCAACAAACCCAGAATGCAACTCTGACCTCCCTCAAGAAGCCAGGACATATTTAACAAATGACTATGAAAATAGTCTGCAAGCAGAAAACCTGTTTCCCTGGCCCTAAAGAGAAGGGTCGCTGTCCCTGCATGGGCAGTCTTGGTCTGGAAGGTAGCTGGCTTCAGTAACACAGTGTTTTAAGGGCAGAGCGTGGCGATCAGGAGAGGAAGGTGGTTGCCATGCCTGGAGGCAGCTCTTCCCGAGATCAGGGAGAGGGGTCTGCCTTGTTAAGTAGGCAGTGGATGCGTTTCCAAAAAAAAACTTGAGAAATTAAGCTCTAGGGGCGAATACTGCGCCCTCCTTGAGGAAAGCGTTAAAATCACAGGGACATCAGCACCTCACGAAGCCCTCTGTGTGTATGTGGCAGTCGAGTAGCACCTGGGGTGCACTGAAAGTGCCGGTTCTGACAGAAAATTCTGTTGAACTTGTACACGGTGGCTGGGTGTGTCCCCCCAGTACACCTCGGTTCTTCTCGGAGGCGGTGCCTGGCAGGGTCTCTCCCTGTTAAGAGAGGGGCATGTTTTTAGCACAACACGGTGAGGGTGGATTATTTGCTTCAGCAAGAGCTGGGGTCTGGAGGGTTTTTCAGGTACCTGGGCGGTCAGGAGCACGTGTCTAGGTGACTACAAAGACTTTTTGATCTCATTCAGTTCTTTTCTGTGTGAGGTTGCCCCAGTGTCTGTGCTCTTGTCAGTAGTTTAATTTGTTTGGCTTTTCTAGGAGCAGACCTCGTGGAGTACCTTGGTGCTGTTTTCACTGACCTCCTGCGCTCTCCGAGAGAAGCTCTTGCTCTCTGCTTGACCTTCCAGCTCTGTGACAAAGATCCTGAGTCCCTGAAAGTTGCTAAGTATCCTCAGCTCTACCGGTTTAACCGATACTATAGACTCTGGATGCCCGAGCAGTGCCAGGAACCTGTGGTATGGAATCCCTGAAGTCACTGCATTCTTGAGCCAGCATCCCTATAAAATCCTCGCAGTCGACAGAGGTTACGTTTCCATCAGAAACAGCGTTTTTATTGAGGCGGTAATTCTGCATTTTTTGTTGATGATGCTGGGGACACACGTTTTCTCCAGGGCTTTTCTCTGATGACACAAGAGGTCTTTGTGGTGTTTGGGAGGCGATACCAGGGCTCAGGCGTCATACAGAGACTCCTCACCAGGCACAGCAGAGCCTGGTGTGTGCTGTGGCCTCTGTTTGCAGTGCCCGGAGTTCCCCCGGGTGGGTGGAGGATCACAGGCCCCTGGGCTGGGTTTGGTGAGTTTTTCTCAGTTCAGCAGTGTGAACACTCCAGAAGTCCCTGGGAGCGCTGCTGGGCAGCTCTGTTCTAGCAGGACTGCACGCTTGTGCTCCCAGAGCTCCAGTTCAGAGCTCATCTCAAAAGCAAGGTGGCTGAAGAGATTTTTGTTCCATACTCATCACTGTTTTTCTCTTATGCTTTTTGTTTGGCTTTAAACAGTGTGAATACCACAAGGAGGTGAGCCAAGAGACTCCTGTGGCACTGGATTCTGTATTTGCCACTTTGCTGAAGGGAGCCTGGGAGAGGGGAAGCAGTACCTTCCCGGAAGATGGTGTTCAGGCAA